TGTATGTATGTATGTATGCATGCATGTATGTATGTATGTATGTATGTATGTATGTATGTATGCATGCATGCATGCATGCATGCATGCATGCATGCATGCATGCATTCATGCATGTATGTATGTATGTATGTATGTATGTATGTATGTATGTATGTGCATGTATGTATGTATGCATGTATGTATGTATGTACGTACGTATGTATGTATGTATGTATGTATGTATGTATGTATATATGTATGTACGTACGTACGTACGTACGTATGTATGTATGTATGTATGTATGTATGTATGTATGTATATATATATATGTGTATAGAGGTGAGGTTTTTCCTTAAGAAAAGCGGTCCACGCTCCTCGTTCCTCGCAGGCGCTTCCCGTCGACCCTACTCCCGAGGCCCATCGACCCTAGACTCGATGCCCGAGACCCCAGACCTTTGGACTGAGATTCGAGGCCCCAGGCCCTTAGACCCTGGACTCGAGACCTTCTAGACCTTAGACCCGATGCCCTAGACCGTAGGCCATATACCCTAGACCCCAGGCCATAGGACCCTAGGCCCTAGACCCGAGGCGGTAAACCCTAGGGACCCTAGACCCTCGACCTCAGACCTCAGACATTGGAGCGTACACTGAAATTTCCGGAAGGCGCCCTTCGAGGCGCCGCCAGGGACCTTGGCGCCCAGGGGCGCCCCGGGCAATGGGAGCGCCCCGCGAGAACCCTCCCGGGTACGGCGAATCTGCTGTAGCTGTTTTTTGGACATTCCCGGAAGCGGCAATTTTATATATATATATATATATATATATGAAAAAACTGTGTTTGAACATTTTTTGGGGAACTTTTTTTGAACTTTTCTTGGAACTCCGTTGTTTCTTTTATTTTTATGTTTTTCTTTTTTTGAACTGTTTTGAACTTCTTGATTACTTCATTTGGAACAGCGGTGGTAAACTTTACCGGTCCCCGGGGGGTCTCCGGAATTCGCCGCCGAATGTCAAAGCCCCGCCTGCGCGGGCCCTTTCGCGTTTGCCTTTTTGGGGGGGCGGGGTCCCGCTGGGGAGTGTGATTCCCGCGGCGTACGGCAGGGCCCCGGCCCTGTGCCGCGCACCTGACATTGGGGCGTGGACTTCGGGCATAGGACATAGGGTCTGGGGCGCGGCGCCTAGGGCCCAGGGGCCAGGGCGGCCAGGGGTCTCAGGTTTGGTGGGCTTTGGCCCATGGACCCAGGCCATTGGTCCGAAGGCTCCGAGCCGTGGGCCCAGGGGCCCAGGGTCTAGGGTCTGGGGGCTGAGGCGCGGCGTTCAGGGTTCAGCGGCTTGGGGCCTTGGGTGTGGTTTGGGCTTCAGGGACTTGGCCCTGCTGCCTCGGGCTTCCGGCGTCGCGGCTCAGGTTTACGCCGTCGGGCTTGCGCCCAAGGGCTTCGGCGCTAGGCTTCGAGTAGGGCCCAGGGTCTACGGCCTAGGGTTTCGGGCAGAGGGCTTAGAAATGCAGCGCTCTATACATGGGGCAAAGAGGTCAAGGGCTCAGGGCTTTTGGCTTGGAGCGCAAGGCCCGCGACGCAGGTCCTCGGGCCGAGGGTCGGAGGTCTGGGGCCAATGGGCTCGGGGCCTCAGGCCTGTGGCTTAGGCCGAGGATTTAGCGGTCTGGGCCCCAGGGCTCAGACCCAGGCTATGCCTATGCCTATGCCAATGCCGTCGCCCCTCCAATTGGGACATTCGTCATCGGCTGCGCCCCCGCCCACGGGGGGGGAGGGGGCGATGGGGAGGGGGGGCGAGAAAGAGCGCGAGCGCTGCGGAGGCGAGGGGGGCGCAGTAGATGAGGGCCGAGCGGAGTAGGACGTCGAGCAGGTCCGGGTGGGTCGGAGGCGGCGGCGAGGGCGAAACGGGGGAGGGGGGCTGTGGGGGCGGGCATGAGGCCGATGGCTCCCGGGGGGGATTGGGCGCCGAGGAGGGGCGGGGGGGGCTATCGGAACGATGGCGGGGGAGGTCCAGGGGTAAGAGGAGGGTCATGAGGACCTCCATGCAAATTGTTGGCGCGATCTTGTGGCTGTCGCGCGTTACGTGGCCACGGGGCGTGCGATTTCGCGCGTTGCCCACGTGGTTCGAGCGCACTCTGCTTCGCATTGCTGTTCGCGCCCTGTGGCGCGAGGGTTTTTTTGGTAAGCTGTGTTCGCTGTCGTCATTCGGGCGGGCTGCCGAGGCGAGCGCGAGTTTTTCGCCATATCGGTAAGTTTGCACATCGCAGCGCAAGCGTGAGCCCTGGGTGCGCGTGACAGGTGTCCCGGGGAATGGGCGCCTCGAGGGCGCATCGGTGAGGGGGTCAGAATCGGCGCCGTTGGTTTTGAACTTGTCTGGAACTTTTTTGAACTCTTCGGCAAACGTTATTTGAACTTTGGACAAAATCAGCAAAAGGCCCACTTTGCCTGAGTTCCAGCATTACAACTCCAGACAGCTTGTGGGAACGCATGGGAGAGAGCAGGCTCGGAGGAGGATTTGTGAACCAGGACGAGGAGGGAGGAGCGCTGAGCGGAGGGATGAGGAGCAAGAGGAGGAGGAGGAGGAGGAGGAGGAGGAGGAGGAGGAGGAGGAGGAGGAGGATGATGAGAAGGAGAAGGGGGGGAGGAGTACGAGGAGGAGGAGGAGCATAGGCAAGTAGCAGTAGTAGTAGCAGTAGTATAGTAGTAGTAGTTAGTAGTAGTAGTAGTAGTAGTACTAGTAGCAGTAGTAGTAGTAGTAGCAGAGTAGTAGTAGTAGTAGTAGTAGTAGTAGTAGTAGTAGTAGTAGTAGTAGTAAGTGTAGTAGTAGTAGTAGTAGTAGTAGTAGTAGTAGTAGTAGTAGTAGTAGTAGTAGTAGTAGTAGTAGTAGTAGTAGTAGTAGTAGTAGTAGTAGTATAGTAGTAGTCGTAGTAGTAGTAGTAGTAGTAGTAGTCGTAGTAGTAGTAGTAGTAGTAGTAGTAGTAGTAGTAGTAGTAGTAGTAGTAGTAGTAGTGGTAGTAGTAGTAGTAGTAGTAGTAGTAGTAGTAGTAGTAGTAGTAGTAGTAGTAGTAGTAGTAGTAGTAGTAGTAGTAGTAGTAGTAGTAGTAGTAATAGTAGTAGTAGTAGTAGTAGTAGTAGTAGTAGTAGTAGTAGTAGTAGCAGTGGCAGTCGTAGTCGTAGTAGTAGTAGTAGTAGTAGTAGTAGTAGTAGTAGTAGTAGTAGTAGTAGTAGTAGTAGTAGTAGTAGTAGTAGTAGGGTTGCACCTGGTCTTCGTGTCGCTACAAACCTCACCTTCGTGTACTCTTCTTTTGTATCAGGCCTAATAGAACTCCTACCAGGGGAATTACGAAAACCGTAGTTTCAAACCTGGCCTTCGTGTCTTTCGCGCCAATGCCTACCTTCGTGCACTATTCGCTGTAGAGGCTGTAGATTGGATTCGCATTAGAAAGTGAATAAAAAACGGCAGTTTTACACCTGTCCTTCGTGTCGACGTCGGATTTGGAGCAACCGCCACTGCCAGTCGCTTCATTTCGGCACAACCCTCTCGAGGATCGTGGGCCTGGCCCTCCGACGCGCGATTCTGGCGCGCACTTCAGTAGGATCGTGGCCCTGGCCAAATTCGGAGCGCTGCCGAAGGCCCACCGACGTCCAATTCCGGCACGCCGCTCACGAGGATCGTGTCTGGCCCACCTGGGAGCGTTGCCGACGGCCCACCGATCAGCAAATCGGCGCACCCCTCACACGGATCGTAGACCTCGCCACATGTGGATCGCCGCCCGACGCTGAAGTTGGAGAGGAGGAGGAGGCGGAGGAGGAGGGAGGAGGAGGAGGAAGAGAGAGAGGAGGAGGAGGAGGAGGAGGAGAAGGATGAGGAGGGTTGGGGACGGGCAGGAGGAGGATGAGGAGGAGGAAGGGGGAAGAAGAGGGGGAGGAGGAGGAGGAGGGGGAGGAGGAGGATGAGGAAGAGGAAAGCGAGCAGGAAAAGAGGAACGCTGTTTTCTCGTCATACACAATGGGTTTGCGAATCTTACCTTCGTGTACGATTGGCTCTATAGCCCTTGTATGGTTTTCTTACGAGCGGACGGCGAAATTGAGAGGTTCCAAATCCCTTCTTCGTGTACTATAGGAATCGCTGGGCTTCCGAACCTCATCTTCGTGTACTATTAGCTCTATAGCCCCTGTATTGTTTTCCTATCAGCGAATGGCGAAATTGTAGGTTTCCGAATTCCTGCTTCGTGTATGATTAAACTCCGACTATTTTATGTTATTCTATTTGGTTTTAGCTGATTGTGTAGAACCGAACCCGAACCCTTACCCTTACCCTTATCCTTACCCTTACCCATTCGTTCTTAGTATACACGAAGGGGAAGTTCGACCCTAGTAGTAGAAGTAGTAGTAGTAGTAGTACTACTACTAGTAGTAGTAGTAGTAGTAGTAGTAGTAGTAGTAGTAGTAGTAGTAGTAGTAGTGGTAGCAGTAGTAATAGTAGTAGTAGTAGTAGTAGTAGTAGTAATAGTAGTAGTAGTAGTAGTAGTAGTAGTCGTAGTAGTAGTAGTAGTAGTAGTAGTAGTAGTAGTAGTCGTAGTCGTAGTCGTAACCGTAGTAGTAGTAGTAGTAGTAGTAGTAGTAGTAGTA